AAAAAAAAAAAAAAAAAAAAAAAAAAAAAAAAAAAAAAAAATTCTCTCTCTCTCTCTCTCTCTCTCTCTCTCTCCTCTCTCTCTCTCTTTTAAAAAAAATAAATAAATATTAAAATTCTCTCTCTCTCTCTCACTCAATCTCTCGCTATAAATAAATAAATAAATAAATAAATAAATAAATAAATAAATAAAATAATAAATTTCCCTTCAGGAAACTGAAGGGACCACCAACAGGGGTCAGATTCAGGAAGGGCCACATATTTGTCTGTTGGGAAAGAGTGGAGGACTGTACAAGGAGAGCCTTGCACGTGCTAGGCGAGCACTCTACCACTGAGCCACAACCCCAGCCCCTGAATTTTAGATTCTTAATATGGCTTTACTCTGCATAAAGATTAAAGGACACAGGACCAGCCTTCCCCACACCTTTTCTGTACATGGGCTAAGTTTGAGATTTAGACAATGCAAGCTTAGCAGTAAGATATGAATCAGTCACGACTGTCCTGTGTGTCTCTAGGTTTCTCATGTATATAATGATGGGGATGGACAACAGGCTGCTCTTTGATCCCAGTTTGGTTCAACAACTATAAAGAAGTTAAGTGCAAAGCACTAAGGGATTACTTAAATGAACAAGGCTGGTTTCCTATACTAGGAAGGCTTCCTATTAGTGCCTGGAATAGAATGAAAAGTTTCTGAGCCCTACTGTGTAGCATGTACAGTGCAAATCACTTTCAGCTCACAATCCTCAGCAACCTTTTGAGACTAGTGTTCTCTTATATGATGAGGAAAATAACTGGCCTTTCAGGGAGTGGCAGGCATGGGTTTGACCCCAGCTCTGCCAGCCACCAAAGTCCAAGTGTTTATCGTCCACTCTGCCTGCTTCAGATACTTGCAGAATGTGGTAAGTGCCACAAGTAGAGGTGCCAACAAGGTGCTCTGGGAACATGTCTTCATGTTTACAATGGCTTCTTTCCCTAGCCAGAACTCTGTCAGCCTTGGCAGTTGGGACTGAGCTCACTCAGGGTGTCAGTCCCCACAGGACTCCCTGCCAACCACCCATCATTGTGACTCTCTGAATGTATTCTTTACTTTTCTTCCAGGAATGTCAGCCCACTTGTAACAATAACAATCATCCTTTCAACATGGTCACACTACTTCTTCCTTTACAAAGCAATTTCACATCCATTATCTCATTTAATCACTTCCTCCTCTACATTCCTACAGCATTTTCTTTGTATATCTTTAGTATAACATTCTGTCTTCTGTAACAGGCCCATTTCCCTTTATTGGATTCATCTTACCTCACAAGACCCATCATATAATTCAAGTATCTCTGTACCTTGCACACTTCTATGAACAAAGTAGGGGTGATAAAAATTCACCATACTGCATCCTCACAGTGTTGGGGTCTGCCTCAGTGCTGCTTCCTTCATTACTTTGATTCAATGCACATTTGAATCATTTGGTTGCCTAAAGAGGGCAAAGGTGAGGGACTCTGTGGCTCAGTAGTAGAGTGCTTGCCTAGCATGTGTGAGGCACTGGGTTCAATTCTCAGCACTGCATATAAATAAAGAAAATAATAAAGGTCCATTGACAACTAAAAAATATTTTAAAAAATAGGGCAAAGATGAGCCCTTTGGGGGGAAGTAAGGTAAGAATTGTGAAACTGGAGGAAGATGGGTGAAGGCTTCTGACCCTTCATAGACCACAGTATATGCTACAGCACAAATGCTATTTGCAGTTTGGGGGGACAGATTAATTTTACATGGAGGTGGGTGGGAAGCAGGAATGCTTGCAAGGGCCCTTCCCAGCAGAAGGAAACTGAAGGGACCAACATGGGTCAGATTCAGGAAGGGCCACATATTTGTCTCTTGGGAAAGAGTTGGAGGACTGCACAAGGAGAAAAAAGAAGAAACCAAAAAAAAAAAAAAAAAAAAAAAGCCTGACTAGTGACTCAGGCCTGTAATCCCAATTACTGGGAAAGCTCAGACAGGAGGATCACAAGTTCAAGGCTAGCCTGGGCAACTTTGAGACCAGGGGAAGAGTGCTTGCCTAGCATGCCTGAGGTCCTGGGTATCATCCCCCTTAAAAAAACAACCCTCTCAAATCAAAACAAAACAGAACAAAACTGGGGGAAGGGCTATTTGGGCAGCTTTTCCAAAAAGGAGGAATAACTCCCCATAATATTCTAGGGGAGAGGAATCAGATGGTGGCAGTTCTCAGGAAAAAGAGCTCCCTTCCCACAACACTCAAAAAAAGTGCAAGGAGTACAACTCCCTGGCATTTCTTTAATAAAGACTGGAGGGGGCACCAATTTCCTACAGTCCTTTTCTGGGGAAAGGTGCTTGAAGCTTAAAATGTTTCCTCTGGGGGGTGGGTGCGAACACTTTATCTTCAGAGATGATGGCTGGAGTGGGCCCGCAGCATCACCCACTTTTCTTCAGCGGTGGGACATAGCAGTGGCCTCCAACAGTGCTCAAAGAGGCAGAGGTGGCTCCCCAGACGTCGTCGGGAAAGGCAATGGGCCTCAAATTCCTTTAATTAAGAGGGCGGGAATCCTGAGCCCCCAGGTTTCAGAAACGAGAGTCGGGAGTCCTAAATCTACAAAGTCATCCTCAGCCTGGAAACTCTCTACAGAAAAGCGAGCAGAGCAGGAATCCCCAAAACTCTTTTAGAAAAGGGCCAGGGGAGAGATTTCTGATGATTCTCCTCGGAACGGGGGCCAGGGAAAAGAATCCCGCGATTCTCCTCAGAACGAGGCCAAAGGCAAGAATCTCCAACATTCTCCTCAGAACAAGGTCGAAGCCGCAACTCCAGAGAGAAAAGAGCGCAGGGGCAAAGAAGCCCCGCAGGGACAAGGCCCAGCCACGACTCGCCCAGAGACTCCTCAGAGGCGCCTCCCGCGGCCCCGCCCGCTGCCCGGCGCAACAGCCCCACACCCGCCCGGCCCTGGCCGCCTCCGGTGCATTGTGGGTGGGGCGCCCCTGCTGAGCACTGCGGGGAACCCCCTGCCCAGCCAGTTGCCGGCCGCCCGGCGGCCCAGGCAAACCACCCTCCGGGGTCCAAGCGAGCCGGCCACGAATTGACGCGTCCCCCAGGCCCCACCCCTCATGGCATTCCCGCCCCGAAGTTGAAGTCCTGCCTTCGAAGGACCCTGAGTGGCCCGGTAGCCCGCTCCACTCTCCCATTGGCAGTTTTTCTGTCAGTCATTATGTCCCACCCACTAGGGCCCGCCCCAGCCACCGGCGCGATCTCGAGGGCCAGCCGGCCCACGCGCTCATTGGTCGCAGCGTGCTGTCCGTCGTGAGACTGGCCACACCCTCCGTGGGGTGCGGATCCTAAGAGCTCCGGCCAGACCTCATTGGCCTGCGGCGCCGCCACTCGGCTAGACGCGCCTCAACCCGGAAGTGTGAGAGGCGAAATCTGCCTAGCAACCGGGGAAGCCGGGCTGTGAAGCGGGCAATTTCAGTGTGAGACCGAGCGGCGAGACCGAGCGGCGGCTCCGAGCGCGGCGCGGCAGCTCCTCCCGCCCGGGGTCAGCGCCCAGGCGCGCGCACGCGCACCCCGCTGCCCAAACGCGCCCCGCGCCGCCCGCGCAGTCGGTCGGTCGGTCGTCGGTCGTCCTGTCGTTGCCGTCGCCGCCGTAGGCGCCACCTGAGGGAGCCGCAGCCGTGGGACGTGACTGGACCCGACCCGACCGCGCTGCCCGTGGCCGTCCCGGGTTCCAGCCGCCCTCGACAGGGACGTCGAGCAACTTCGGTGAGTGCGGGGCTGGCGCCGCTGGTGGGGGTCCGTGGCTTCCGGTGCCCGGGGTTCCTCTGGGGCTTCCGCTTCTCCCCGGCACCACGTTCGCCGAGTGGACCCGGTTCTCTGAGGGTCCCTCGCCTTTCTGAGGTGTGTCCCATTCTCTTGGGGACTCCTGCGTCTCTAGGGGACCTCTACCTTTCTTTAGGACCCATGCCTCTGAGGGAAACAGCATCTTTTCTAAAGTCCCGTCCACTTTTCTGAGGGTCCACCTTCCCTCAGGACCCCGGTCTGTTTGAGGACCCCCTTCTCCATGCCTCTGAGGGGAGCCCCATCTGACGGACACTCCACCTTTTTGAGGGACTGCTTGGTTCTCTGAAGGGCCTCCACCCCCTTTTCTGAGGGTCTCTGGCCTCTCTCAGACCCTCTCCCCGCTTCTTTAAGGAGACCCTTGCTATTATGGGAAGACATTGTCTGAGGGGCCTCAGAAAGTAAAGGGGTCCCTAGGTATCTCCTGCTTCCGTGATGGGGGCCTCCGTCTCTAAGGAGACGTTCCTTCTCTCTGAGGGGACCCTCCTTCTTTGGGGATGCCCACCTCTCTAAGGACATCACCCTGCCTCTATAGGGAACCCCCACATTCTCTGAGGAGGGCCCTGCTTCTCTGAGCTATTGTTCCACTTTTTTGATGAGTCCCCTTCGCCCCCTACCTTTCAGAGATACTTTCCCTGCTTTTCTGGCCCCACTTCTTTGAGCAACTTTCTCCTCCCAAGTTTCCTCAGTTAATCTGGACTGTTCCTGCTTTCTGCAGAGTCCTTTCTGGAGGTGTTCCCCAGAAAGGAGTTATCACCAATTAGATGAAACCCTTATGTTTTTTGATGAGTTCCTTCACTTCCTGGTGTGTGTAGGGTACTATGAGATGTCCATACTTCTGACTGGATCCTTATTTCTCTGAGGTATACCCCCAACTTTCAAAGTATTTCTCTTTCTTTTGAGCTGTCTACTAATCTGTGCATGCTGCAATTTTCTGAGGGATTCTAAAGATTCTTCCCCTCATATGAGATGTCCCACTCCTATGGGTCCTGCCCATCTCTGAAATATGCCTCCACTTTTCCAAGATACTCTATTCTTTTTTTTTTTTTTAAATTCACTTTTTAGTTGTAGGTGGACACAGTATCTTTATTTTATTTTTATGTGGTACTGAGGATGGAACCCAGTGCCTCATATGCGCTAGGTGGGCGCTCTACCACTGAGCCACAACCCCAGCCCCTCCAAGATACTTTATCTTGCGGGGAGACACTGTGGATCATTTCATTTCTCTGAGAGGTTCCCTTGCATTTGAAGGGTTCCATTCTCACTTGCCTAAAGGTATCCCCCCTTTCTTGAGCCTTATTTCCTGATTCTCTAAGGAGAAACTCTCCCTTCATTTATCCTTGGAGTCCCCAACTTCAAGGTTCCCCTGTTTCTATTTGTGGCACCATTTCTTTATTGTGGAGGGAGAGACCAGAAATGTTCCTCCACCTCCTTTCCATTCTTTCTTCTAGGCAGGGGGTTTTCTCTGGACTTTTATCTCACCTTTCATTGGCCTGAAGGATTTTGTGACTGGAGGGGAAGTTGGAAGACTTAGAGGCAAAAAACAAAAAACACCCCCTTGTTTTCTCTTGTCCTTCTTAAGACCTGCAAGACTTGGGAGTTGGGGATTGTTGCTAGATGACCACCTTGGTTACTTCATTTTCCAGCCCTGGGGCTACCACAGGCCAGTGTAAGGCCAGTCTGGAGGCCAAAGGGACAGAGTGGAGACATTGTCTCTCCATTATCACATTGTCAAGCTGTGGAACCGACCTACTTCCTGTCCTGTCCCTCAGTACTCCCTTTGCATAGTGTAACTCACCTTCCCCCGCCCTCCTGCCCCCTACAAAAAAAGGAGAAGAAAATTCTCCTTTGGGTCTTTCTGCTGCATTTTCTCTCCCTGAGCCTTCTGATTTACCCCTTGATCAATAAAAGATCTGTTGTGCCCCTGGTTTGAAAGGCAGGGCAAGAGGCAGAAAATGGGTCACATTAGATCCAGAAAGAGTGAAAGAGAGGCAGGGGACAGAATTTGACTACATTGCCATAAGTTTTAGGTAACTTTAGCCTGGCCCAAAGGAAGTTTTTACGTGGCTATTGCAAATGTCTATGTATTTTTTTAATGGCCCACCCTGGATTCCAGGTTCACTCCAGTAGCTAATTTTATCTGCTTTGCCAAATGCAGAGTTCTCAGGAGCCCAAGTAGATGAATGCTGGCATTGAGAGATTGTCCAAAGGACAGGAATGAACTCAGTTTGAAACCTGAGTAACTTGTAACTACTTCGTGTCCACATACAAGTCTCAAACTAAAAACATGGGGAGAGCTTGACTGAAGTGGAGTTCTGAAATATAGGCTGAACTCCAGTTTGGTTTAGCATGTCAACAGGTTCTTCCTTCTGACTTTGCTAGAACTGCAGTTCACTTTACAGTTTAACTTAAGGCGGTCTCTCTCCTGTTCTTTTCCATCTGGGTCTTACTTAATTTGAGTCCTTTGTGAAGACTCCTACCGAGGCTATAATTTGAGTTCTAAATCTGTCGGTGGACCATGTGGACACAAGTTTCAACTCGAGCTATTTTCTTCTGTGGAGAGGCAGTTGGAGAGTTTCCTGGGCCCTTTGCTCCTGGGATAGTCAAGTCCAGGCAGGATGCTGCTACAGACCTTTTACTCTTCTACTGCCTCTTCCTGGTCAGCTGTAGGCACTGCCCTGAGGTGAAGAGGAAAGATGGTGGGGACCTTGGGGCTTAGACTGTCCTGAGATGAGTGCAGATATGTGAAATGAAAACCATAGGAGGGGCTGGGTTTGTGGCTCAGTGGTAGAGTGTTTGTCTAGCATGTTTGAGGCACTGGGTTTGATTCTCAGCAGCGCATATAAATATTTATAAATAAAACAAACGTCCATTGAAAACTGAAAACAAAAACAAAACAAACAGGACTGTGGGATAGAGTGATAAAAAGGGAACCTGGTGTCTTTGAAGTCAGAAGGACTGCCTTAGTCTGTTTTTTTTTTTTGTTACTGTAATGAAATACCTCAGGTAGGTTACATTGTAAAGAAAAGAGTTTTTTTTTTTTTTTTTTTTAGAGAGAGTGAGAGAGGGGAGAGAGAGAGAGAGAATTTTTAATATTTATTTTTTAGTTCTCGGTGGACACAACATCTTTGTTGGTATGTGGTGCTGAGGATCGAACCCGGGCNCACAACATCTTTGTTGGTATGTGGTGCTGAGGATCGAACCCGGGCCGCACACATGCCAGGCGAGCGCACTACCGCTTGAGCCACATCCCCAGCCCAAGAAAAGAGGTTTATTTTGGCTCATTTTGGAGGTGCAAAGGCTCATATCTTGTGATAGTTTTCTTCTAGTAGAGTCCCAAGATGTGTCAAGAAACTGGGATCATTCCATGCATATGTGTTTGTGGCTTTTCTCTCTCTCTCTCTCTCTCTCTCTCTCTCTCTCTCTCTCTCTCTCTTTAAAGTCCCCAGGAGTTAATCATGGGGACTCCACTCTAACTCTAATCACTTTTCAAAGGTCCTACTTCTAAACATAATAGTTGGATTAAATTCCCATCCTCTTAGTACATCACAATGGGGCTTAAATTTTAACATATGTCAAGCCTTGGGGGAATGGTCAAACCATATCCAAATCATAGCAAGGTAGTCCTTCTTTCTTGAGACTTCCCTCCTCATTATCTGAGGGAGAAAGTCTTCCCTCATTTATCCTTGGAGTCCCCAACTTTAAGGTTCTCCTGTTTCTGTTTGTAGCACCCACTTCTCTCTCCCTATTGTGAAGGGAAAGATTAGGTTCTGGTTGTGCCCTTCCTGGTTGTGTGGCTTTGGACAAATTATGGCACAAAATTGACACGTTTGTAAATATTTGAGGGAAAATATGCTATGAGTTGTGTGAGGGCACCTATTGCAGTGAGATGCTTCTTAGATGAATGAGTGAATCTGAAATAATGAACTGGAAGCACCTAGCACAGCTCCCCATATATGATTGACATGCAATAAGCATTGGTTATGTTGCACATGATATTATGGTCCTGGTCTGGACTCTGCCAAAGCTAAATGTCCCTGAAGAGAAAAAAGCTTGATTAATCTATTGGAAAACCCATTGCCCCATGAGTCTCTTTGTAAAAGTTTTTCTGTGTTCATCTCACCAGATGTGAGATAAATTTGCTATGTGGGCTATTTGTATTTGCCTTGTCTTTGGCATCTCCCTCTGTCAAATGGGTGTAATTTGAGAGTTAAGGGCAAGTAGGGAGATGTATTACTCTATTAGACCATAGGCAAAATAGAAGATTATAAGAACTGAAGAATTGTGGGAAGAAAAAAACAGGTGAACATAAACTTAAAGAATCTTATCCATATTTTGAGACTGCTTGATTGAGAGATATGCAGGAGTTACCTGGTGAGTGATCTGTTCTTACACTTTAGAACTTTGAAAGATGAACTGTTCTTTCATGGTAACAGATCAGATTTGGGAATAAAAGACTGGGAAGGCGGTGTACAAAGGCATTTGACGCCACACAATAATAGTACTTGGAGAGGGCCAGTGTATGGCTTAGTGCCCTCAAGAAGATCAGAATTCATTCCCTCACTCCTAGAACTAGGGTCTATTAGAGCTGTAGTGATAATAACAGCTATTTTGGGTTTGGGGGGTGAAGGCAATACTGGGGTTGGAGGGGAATTGCAGTGGATTGGGAACAAGGTGATCAGGACACTATCTATCTATCTATCTATCTATCTATCTATCTATCTATCTATCTATGTATCTATGTATCTATCTATCTATCTATCTATCTATTTTTAAGAGGGCTTTTGCTTAGCAATTAGTGAAAGCCCTAGAATCATGACAGGTGAATTGGGCCTAGCCTTCTTCACTTCTTAGTATGGGGACAGATGGAACTCTGACTCTGCCCCTGATGGATAAAACCTAGGGGGAAATAATGGGTGAAAATC